GTGCTCTCCATTCTCGTAATAGCCGGCGTATTCAAATAGCCGGCCTACCGCTTGTATACGTTTGTTGAGCAACGCGAAGGAAAAAAAGGAAAAACGAGGGAGGGTAGGATCCCGATGTCGTTCGCGTAATATCGCCTTTGACGCCGCCACGTCCCGCACGGTTTTGCAAGGATGGGATTGACGAGAAAAACGGAGTAGGCGGAGTCGTCACGTACGGCGTGTTGCGTGTTAAACCGTATCTGATCGATCACCCTCTGGCTTTATTCGACTCTACATTTAATCTTCCGAGAGCTCGTTTTTCAATACGTAAGATAATATATTTAATAACAAAAGGAGAATCGCTCGTTGCGCAAACAAGCACCTGGATCGAGGGCCAAGAATTCTTGGAGGAAGAAGAAGGCCCGTATACTTCTTGGCCTTTAGTCCAGATAGAGGAAAGTCCCCTGGTACAAGATAGCAGGTTTCCCAAATTCAATCACAGATATTTTTTTTTCGCAACGATTACACAATTTAACAACGAACTTTCCACTAAACAGATTTCTAGGCACCGCGTTATTCCATATTGAGATCCTATCTCATAATAAAGGACTTTCCTCTATGATTGCGCACGGAAAAAAATGCTATTGAATTAAACAAAATGAAGTTGCTGGAATTAACGTTAACATCACGGGTTGCCGCAAACACAAATAATTCACTCAATTGTATTTGCTATGGATTTTAATTTTAAGCCTTGAACTAAACATCCAGATTATTGAGACAACAAGCTGATATTTTTCATTGATTAATACCGATGTTGTCTCAACGATTTTATTTCAATTACACCGATTCTGTTGATACAACGTCGTTCCTTTTTCCGCGTGTAAATTGCCGAAATCGAACGACACGTTACGCATAATCGATTTCAAGTACGACGCGAACTATTACGATCCCTCAATGAGTTTCCTGCGATCGGTCTCGTGAGTCAGTCAATTTCGCAGCGGTGGGAAGATCCGGGGGATCTTACCCGCGCGAGATTTACCTGTACGAATCCTCTCCGCTCGCACAAATGATCGTAATTCCCAAAGGCGAGAGAGGCAGGCGATCCGGCGCGTATTATTTACAATTACTTTGGTGCGATGCGCGCGATGTTCGCGCCCGTCGTAATTTGCGATTTATCGCGTACGGATAGTCGATGGGTGCGTCGGCGCACGTACGGAGCCGATTCTAACAAATTGCCGATAGCGAGGCAGAGATGGATCGGGCGAGCAGAGCGCGAGGCAGGCTCGTGCAAGGGAGAAGAAAATAATAGGCCACGGGACAAGAGCCGGCCTGCCGCTCTCGACCGCATTGGTTTCACATAACTGTTAACGGCGTTGTCGGTCGGTCTATATCGAGATCGGCATCGCCTCTCGGCGGCAACAAAAATCCTCGCCGCGTCCCGCGCTCGACTTACCTGTTATCAATTAACTGTTAACGTCGCCGGCGCGCTCGGTAGCGCGTCTATTGCGTGTGTTATCGACGCAAGCCGTGCGCTATGAATAATGCATCTCCGGTGTATCTCTCGTGCCACTTAGTCGAACATCCTGACTCGCGTCACCTTCATTATACACACCGAGAGCGATTTGACGCGAGAGAAGTACAATGGAGCGAACTTTGCGTGGTCCTATCACAGTTTTCACCGACGGTCCCCAGTAAACACCGAGCACCGGTTACGTTGCACTTCGATCTGATCTCTTTCGCAAGGTTGTGTCTCATTTTTACACAATTTCCGGTTTTTCCGTTCAAACGCTCATTCCGCTTCTAAATAAGTGTTTAAGAAAATCACAACAATGCGACACACGTGTTATATTTTATATTTACGTCGTTGAGTGAGGCACCGCAACGCAAATGCAACGTAATTGACGCTCCGTGTTCACTGAGGAACGTCCTCCCCCTTTTTTTTCACCCCGATTGATATTCACGGCGATTACGACCTTGTAAGAATCTCAACGTAGCTATTACTTTTTGGCACTTAATAATTAAAATATCTCAGATGTGTTTGTACAAACGAGATTTCGTGACTACCGCGACTGTCGCGTGATTCGACGTCCGTCACTTTTGCGTTTGCATTATGTAAATGCGGCCTGCGTTATTTCGTCCAACGTAAACATATTTATCGGGGTCTCCCGTGTCTCGCGCCGCGTATCGGTATAATCTTACGTGTTCTGTGTCCCTCGAATGGGCGCAGTCGCGAGCGCGCGCGCGCGCGCGCGGGCGCCTGGAGGCACGTAAATTTATGAACGAGGAAACGGCGGGGATGACGCAGGAACATAGCTTTTGCAACGTCTGCTTCCTTGGGCGGCAAAACGAACCGTTCGGTGATATAAGGACGAGCGTGGGCGGATTCGCTCTTGCGCGGGATCGCAAGCGCGGCTTCGGAAACTGGTCTCGAAACGAATTAGACGTCCAACGCGTTTTCGCGCGCGAATTTATGGGCGTGACTTTGCGTCCCTTTTAATTGCATTACGCGATTTTTATCTCGTTTCATTTGGCTTTTATCTTTTTAGACTCCTTTATAACGCCCCACGCAAGGCCACGATCTCCGCGGTGTTAAGATCCGCGATGAGAAAGCGCGCGCGATCCACGCTCGTGAGTGTTTTGTACAAATTTTTGTACTGTTGTTATTCGAACTCGTGTTACTAAATTAGCCACTAAAGTTGCGAGAAATAAACCGAAATTCCAAGGGGTAAACCGCTGACCACGTTCACGTGCGCCAATGCCTACTAATGCATTAAAATTCGACGTTGGTTGATTTTATTATCTTATTTTACCTCGTTTCACTGGTTTTATCTGTTTGGATTCTTTGTAACGCCCCCGCAAGGCCAAGTAACGCTCACTAATGCCCAACAAATGCCTAGGAATGCCGCAGACCTGTAGAGTGAGGGGCAGAATGGCCGGGACACCTTTTTTTTCTACTGCGTTTAGGAACGTGCATTTAAAGTCAGGGTTACGTTCCAGATCTTCTTCTCCGAGGAATATTTCACTCGGTGGCCATTCCGAAACTGTTCCGAGCATTTCCGATCTATTTCTCGAGGTATGCGGAGTCTACAATGCGAGCCTCGGAGTCGCAGTCGTAAGAATAATCGACCGTCCACTGAGAAAAATGTCCGATTAAGGACAATCGGATAATCCACTTACGTACAAACGGATGTGTACGATTAAATTGTATATCCGATGAAAAATATGATCGGTCTTTCAATGAAATTTCACCGGGGTAACTGCGTTTCACCGGATAAATTTCATCGGGTATATCAATAATTTAATCGGAAAACCGAGGGGGACACCGCTGAGCAAAATCTTGTACACCAATGCCCACTGATGCCCAGTGGGCATCACACTATCTTATTATCTTATTTTATCTTATGCATCTTGTTTTATCCTATTTTATCTTTACACTGAGAAAAATTTTCATCGGATAAACCAATTAAATAGTATGTCCGATGGTTAATTTTTCCGATTACGTTTTCCGATTATATTATGGATATATCCGATGAAATTTATCCGATGAAATGCAATTACCGATGAAATTTGATTGAAAAACCGATCAAATTTTTCATCGGATATACAATTTAATCGGATATATCCGTTTGTTATCATGTAATTGGATTATCCGATTATATTTAATCGGATATTTTTCTCAGTGTATAATACTCCAGTAAGGCCTAATGCCCAGACTAATGCCCAAAAAAGCCTAGTAATGCCGCAAATCTGTACACCACAATGCCCTCAGCGGTTTTTCCCTCGCGGAAAACGTAATCGGCAAGATTAATCATCGGAAACGCCATTTAATTGGTTTAGCCGATGGAAACTTTTCCCAGTGCAATTGGTCAATTCAGTCAGACAGACACACAAGAATTCACCAATCGACTATTCTTAGACCCGTGACTCTGAGACTCGCCTTGTAGACCCCGCATAAAATTTTCCTCCGAGAAAATGTTTTGGAACGTAAGCCTGAATCTAAATGCGCGTTCCTGAATTCATTAAAAACAGCGTCGCAACCATTCGGTCCGTCACTGTACACCACAATGCCCTCAGCGGTTTACCCCTCGGGAAATCCAGACAACCTCCGAGAGAAAAACTTGTATATCTGAATGATATAAAATTATTTGAATCAATTGAATGATGGCTTTTGCAGAATATTGCGGTATCTACAAACATGACGTATCTATTGCAAATCACAAAGAATTGAGTAGCGGAGTAACGTGTAGGCGTTCTGTCAATTAATTTTAATTGTCATATTTGACGAAACGTTCGCACTTGTCAGGCGAGACGTCGACAACGAGTAAAACGTCGGACAACGTGCGCGGTAATGCTCGTGAGCGTTCGATTGTTCTCACTCAAATGAATCTCTCCCGTCTCCGCCTATTGCTATTCAATATTCCTGTTCGCAGATTGCTGCGCACGCGACACCGCGTCTGCATTTCGCGGGAACTCCGTAATTACCGGGAGCGCGGGACGCCGGCGTCAGGAGTACGAGTCGAGATTTCGTCGACGACGTCGGACGCACGATTCAATCGGTAAGGATTTTTTCTTAATATTAGCATTTCTGTAACAATCTGGATAGGAAGACAGGAATTGCGGTTTTTGTATAAAATTAGTTTTATAGCTTACGAAACTGGATCCGTCGAATTAATTTGCTAGACTGACTTAAATACACAGAAATTTGCGAATAAAAGCTCTGCGCGAACCATCGCTTTATTGACAAGTCGTGTCTCTCCAGAAGGTGTTAAGTGCCTCTTTACTCCCATCTTATTTCACGTTTAAACTGTTTTATCAAGATTATGATTGATGTGATTTGCCATTTGATGGAAATATTCAAGAATATTAATAGGAATGATTCATAAACGCTCTGGTTCTTCTCTGGAAAATACCGAGCGCACGACACTCATAAATATTTAGCAGCGCAGGAATACACCGACGACACACGGCGTCCCGGTGTCGTGACGACCAACGGGAAGAGAGAAAATCGTAAATCGCCTTACCTTATACGTCATGCCACGACCTTGAAGCCGAGGGTGACAGCGGTTCCCGCACTTGCGTTGGCTTCGCGACACTTTTCCACCTTTGCTCTGCTCATAAGGCAATCCGCGAGCGAGGTAGAAAGAGGCGTGAAAGGAAAGGGAGCAGAAAAAAGGGAAAGGGAGAAAGTCAGATTATATACCGGGGGCGGAAGGGGTGGCGAGAGAAAGGGCGGCTGGATGCTGAGGGAACACTTGTTTTTTGCAACAACACACTGGCCTCACACTTCGTGATCACTCTCCCTCTTTCGCGGGGCCCTTTCCACGCGCGCGAAAGACGTCGGCCCTTACGAGGATACTAGACACCGGAACGTCCGCACGAACATTCCGCCGACCCGTGCCGGATCGTTCCTCAACGATAGTACATCCAGGATCCACCGGAAGCCTCCTCGTTTCTTGCACCTCGTGGTACCGCAACCACGTGCTCGGATAACGGTTCCGATCGTTCCCGCTCCGGCGATGCACGACGCGTGTCCCTTTTTTTTGTTTTTGTGTCACACACCGCACCAGACAGCCTCCCGTTTTCTCAGAGAGACAGCTCTCTCTCTCTTTCTCTCTCTTTCTCTCTCTCTCTCTCTGTCTCTCTCTCTCTCTTCTTGCTGACTAGAGCTCGTTCTGTCCTCGTGCTCCGATCGGGCGCCAAACGGCGGCAATCGATCTTGTGAAGAGAGGTCCAATCCGGATGAGCGATCGCTGTGGGACCACACTGGCGATCTCGGTGCGAGGCCCGGATGTGTATCGAGGCGCGCGCGTGCGTCGCGTCGACAGGACAGTCGAGTCCTGACTGTTGATCTCTCTGACGGGAGGAGCGACGGAAGGAGCCGCAACCACGTTGCTCACCACCGTCCGGCGATCGTTTGGTGCTCCGTTGTCCAGGTCCTCTCTTGAGGCGTGTGATATCTCCCTCCCCTCCCCCTCCCCCTCCCACCCTCGCGCTGTCTCTCTCGTTCTTTTCCTCGTGCCGCGGACGAGGCGGAATATCAGCGTGAACCGTGAGCGCTCACGGAGGAGATTCGTGAGACGCGACGAGAGCGGAGTGGTCCGTACGGTGGTGAGTAAGCCGCGCGCCGATGTGTGAGGCGGGCGATGCCGCGTACGAACGTCTCGCGCGCGCACAGGCGCACACACCGTACACACACATGCGCGCCGTGACCGTACACAGACACGCGGGATACACACGTACCGCGCCGTGGGTACCGTCGGATTGGGCGGGGAGACTGAATCCGTAGGCCGCGGTGCGGGTAGGTTAGTAAGTAGGTAGGTAGGTAGGTAGGTAGGTAGGTGAGCCACACAACCGGGGAACACACACACACACACACACACACGGGGAGGGGGGAGGAATCGCGCCGTCTGCGTGCACGTATATCGGAGCGCGCCCCGTTTCTACGTGTATGTGAGAACGCACGCGGAGAGATATAGCGGAGGGAGCTCCCCTGCGTGTTAACCGTGAGAGACGTCGGTAAGGTAAGTGCTCTCCTCTCCTACGGCTCCGGAGTAGCACCACGCCGGCACGCGACCTGCCCTCCCCCCTCCCCACCTCCTTCTTCCTCGGCCGCCTCTACCCCCCCCCTCTCCCCGCCCCTCTCCTCGCGCCCTCCTTTTCCTACCTCGTCGGCGAAGGACGTCTCTCCCTCTGGCCAACGTCTCCTCCTAGCTGAGGCTCCTCCGGCACTCTTCTGGCTGTCCTTCCCCACTCCCCGTGCGCCCCGATCTGGACCCCGAAGAGAGGTGGTGGATGGTGTTGGTGCACCACTCCCACCCGATGGTCACCGACACACCGGAATCCTCCCAGCCGGCCGACGTGCTCTCGCGGAGAGCGAGCGAGCCGGAGGGAGACAGAGAGAGAGAGAGAGAATGAGTGAGGCAGGAAGGGAAGGAGGGATGGGACGAAGAGTATCGAACACAGTCACTATCTCTTCTCTATCGTTACTCGCGGTGCAACCTCCCAGGCAACTAATTCACCTTTGCAACTGTATCGACACCCTACCGCTCCATCGAACGCGAATATATTCGTCCTTTCTTCGGCCGCCTCCTCTTCTTTCTCGTCTTCCTCGTCTCGCATTCTTCCTCGTCCCGATAAAACCTGCGCGATTTACGAGACAACAAAATGCACACAGATATTTAATAACTTGCGTTTACTTAGACGGTTGCGATTTTTGGACCATTTCTTCACGGTTTGGTCCTTTCTTTGCCTGCTCATCGAGAATAATCTCACATTCGGGAAACGCGAGCTTCAACATTGTGCCAAAGAAATTGATTATTATCGACAATTTCAATGCTCGATTACCTCATTTACACTCTTGTTTGAATTTTGCTTCAACGATATCGAAAGATCGTATAGATTTAAATTCGCGAGGTAATATCGCAACTCACAAATATCAGCGAGGAATGATCTACCAGTAAAGTTCTGTTAAGGTAGAATCGGCTCCGAATTTATCGCACTGTCTGTGGCAGAAAAGACATCCGATAGGCCTGAGACTCTCCCTGCATTGTATCGTTGGCTCCCAAGTATACATATATCTTCGGTTTGGTCGTACTTTGTTGTCCCATCGTCACGTTGTCCCATTTACTAAAAAAATACTAGGTAGGAGCACGTTGTGACATATCGATATATCGAGGATATGCATCGATATAGCGCAACGTGCTCCTACCTGGGATTCCTTACTCATTGTCAGTGGGACAACGTGACAATGTATCTGCGATCGAGGAGATACGAACGCACATTGGATTGGTTTTATGATAAATAAACGTCACGAGTAACGTCGTGGAAAACAGAAGTCTAGCGGTATACCTCAGGTATATGTTAAAGTGTAATGCAAAACAAAAATTGCTTTCACAGTAATGTAACATACTTCGTCGACCGCATCGAAGTTATCGGTGTTAAAGTTAGATTATTTCTTCAGATCTGGAAGAATAATCCTAGCTTGCGCTTATACACGTCATAAAGTTCGCTTCGATGGTACGGTATCGATAATCGCACTTGGTTCGTCTTCATTACGTCACATCCGTCGCAACTGCCTTCCCTCATATGCGCCTTCTTGGTTACCCGTCATTCAATGTTGCGTTATCCGTTGACTCTCGGTCCTGCCGCGTGTCGATTTCGGTATTGTCGCAAGTCGTATCACGAGGACGTCGGTGTTTCCGTTGACGGCGTGAGTTCGCTAGTTAAAGATCGAAACCGTTTTTCATTGCTCACCGTCGCGATGCCCATAGTACTCCTGTTCTTCGCTTCCTGACGCTAATTCATCACCGCTGGAACTGTATAGTGGCCCTCCCACCATTTTGCTCCGGTATTCTCCGGTTCTCCACGATGACGATCCGGTTGTCCTAGGACCGGACCAGCTCGTTATTACCGTATCGTACCCTGTTTGGCTTTAGATGCCTTCAATTTTCTCTCTCTCTCTCTCTCTCTCTCTCTCTCTCTCTCTCTCTCTCTCTCTCTCTCTCTCTCTCTCTCTCTCTCTCTCTCACACACACTCGTCCTCGCTGTCGCTCTTCGATCAGTGTCGTAACTCTGGAAGTCTTTGGTGAAACACCGAGATCGATAAAAGAGAGTGTTTACTCCAAACTAATGCTACGATTAGGATTAACTCTGTACTGATAGTAAAAATGTTTATGTATTGTTACACGACACGCATTGTTAAAAGTCGCCTTATCTTCACAGCCCACATAAAGTTATAATGTAGTATGCAATTACAATTCGCAAACGATCAGCGCTTCTCGATGGTTCGACTTGTCGGTTGTAATCGCTGCAATCCGTTCTTCCTTTACGGAACTTTTTCAAGTTTTTCTTAATCGCGCCGTTAGATCGTGCAATTCTATCTTGGAAGCGCAGTAGATCAAGCTTTTATGCGAATGAGAGCACTCATTATCTGATTAATCATACCGAGCTATTCATCTTCGTCCAGTCGCATTTCGAGGAAAAAACACTTTATCACATCTTTCATGTTATTTATATTCGTCACGAGGCTTCTTCTACGAAACAAAATTTTTTCGTTGAACTGGAGAGTGAAAATTTTGTGTTCATCAACTTTAACAATCTTACTGCTAATTATTTATTTCGAGTTTTTCAGATTTTAATTTTACGAGATTTCTTGTCATTGATTTGCGAAATAGAACCTTGCTAATTGTAACGCTCGCAGCTGCCTACGAATTACATTTCTGCGATATATAATTGTACATAATTTTTATTTAGCCGCGTCAGAATCACACAACTTCCATGCTTCTGCATTCACCCATTTCGGTCTCCGCATCATCGCTCACGGGAACTTTATTCAAGCCGCGACATTCTGGGTCAATCTCGAGTTAACTCCTTAGCTTTAGGTTGGCCGGGAAGCTAAGCACGGCGAGTAAATCGAGGAGGCCGGTGTATACGCCCCGAGACCTTAGATCATCGGATCCTCGTGGATCTCCACGCTCCGCCTTGTTGCGCAACCGTCGGTGATCTCGGGCACAGCGGTCCTGACACAGTTACCTGGTCAGGGCGTTACGGGATTAAAAAGAGCGGGGAGAGGAGAAAAAAAGAGGAGGAAGAAGAAGAAGCGGAGAAACGTGAGCCACTCTCGGAGTGCCTTCCCTGGTTTCACGGTTTGATGACTTTTTTGCGACCTCTCGTTGCCGGACAAAAAGACGCTCTCTGATCCCTCGCCGCGGCTTTCCTCCGCTAAATGTCGTGCCGTTTCGCCCGTTTCGCCGGCGATTCTCTCTCCCGCGGCGGCGTGTGTTGCAACGTGCACAAATTTTGGCCTTCGGCTCGGCACGCGGCCGCCGTCATGTCGCCTGACGACGCCGAAAGCCGGGCCCGCGCTCGCGCGACGTTACAATGCCCGGTGTCGCTTTGAATGACCGTCGTTAGCAAACGAATTGCATCGACAATGGGATCTTCTCGCGATTCTGCATAGTCACAAAATCGCGCACAATGTAACCGTACCCTTCGTCGCGTTCTCGTGGAAAAGGGAACAAAAAAAGGAGGGAAAAGGAGGGAAAGAAAAAAAGAAGCGACCGATTTAATACCGTTTCAGAATCTTTTGTCGTGTCACGCGTATTGTGTCGATTTTCTGCGCTCGAAATTTATACGCGATCGCTCGTTCACGCCCGGCACGTTGCTCAACGGGGCCTCCGACGGGAGAACCGGATGAACGACGGAGGTTCACCGTGTTGGTGTCACTTCAGGGTCGTCGATCGTGATATTTGAGGCTCATGGAGGCGGGTCGGAATTCGCGACCGCGTCGCGACGGACTGTCCCCCCTCGCTCTTCCCGTTGAAGCATTCTATTCTCATGCGACGACACCTCTCCACCGCGGGGTTGACGGCGTGCGCGCGCGCGCGCGCGCGCATGAACGCACGCACGCACGCATACACGGCGCCCGGAGCCCGCGGCCGCGGAGCCCATCATTAAACGCCTACGCGGACGAATATCGGCGAGGACGGCACGGCACGATGTCGCTGATGGTGTCGTGCGTGTCGCGACAAAGGCCGCGACAAACGCGCGCGGAATAGCGTCGCCCTGGTAAGAACGTCGTTGACAATGGCGTGCGCGCACCGGAAGCCTCGCTCGCCGCCGCGCCGCGGTGAAAGTTAATCATCCTAAACGCTCCTCTCGGAGATCAGCCCGATCATCCGGGATCCATCGGGCGGGGATCTCCTCGGCGTCTTGTTACGTTACCAACCTGACGATGTTATTACGTCGTACATTTTCCTTCGCCGATATTTACAGGAGGCGGGCCGCGAGGTGCGACCGTAGGACTGAATGAAGAAGCGTGAGAAATTATTAATTGTGTCATTAATTATCCAGATAGCATTCACGTCTAAAAGACATCTTTAAGACGGTATTAAGTTGTCTTTTAGACATAAACGATATCTTTATGAAGTCTTTTAG